GCCCTAGAGCCAGCCCCGGCCCCGCTCCGGTGCAGGCGCCTGAGCGCGCCCAGCTTCGCCATGCTCATGCTGCAGCACCAGCAGCAGCTCGGGAGCCGGACCACGTGCCGCTCCGCAGCTACACTCTAGGCCCGGCGGTAGCCCCTGGGGCTGCCGCGTGCAGCAGGCACCGCCCCCGGGGGAGGAGCTTCAGCGGGGCTAGGGCCGCCGGCTGCACTGGCCACGGCGGGACCGAGTGGGATGCGGCCCTCGTCCGCCTTGTGTGTCGCTGGGGCTGGGGCGGCACAGCGCTGACTCTTGTGCGAGGTGCGCCTGGGAGACCGGCTAGTACTGCACCACACCCCCCATGCAGACACACACGCACACGTGCACACCGCGCCACGTTGTAGGCGCGGTGTGCACGCATATATTTATGCACACACCACCCCTACCTGCTAGACTAGCTACACAGGTGTACACACACATCACACCGCGTTGTACGTGTATATGTATACACCCCCCACCTGACAGACTAGCTGCATACATGCATCCCCACACATACGTATATGCATATACACACAACAGAACACCACGTTGTATATGTACATATGCACACATCCCCTACCTGCTAGACTAGCCTCACACACGTGTACACACACACATACGCACACACCAATGTGTATACATGTACACCCCCCCCACCTGATAGACTAGCTAATTACACATGCATATACACACACCTGATAGACTAGCTTTTATTTACATACATACATATAAAATATATCAATGTATATAATAATATACAATGTAGTATATAGTATTATTATTTATATATATATTATATAAAAATACTATCAAGCTATCTACCAGCTGGTCTATCAAGTGCAATTTTACCCTGCTTTCTACTTAACTTCAGTCTAACAGGACTGTGTCACAACCAGGTGCAGTGAGCTGCAGTGTCACAGGGTGTTGTGAGGCTGCTTTGGCGTTGGGGCCTTAAGGAAGGAAGGAAGGAAGGAAGGAAGGACCCCCCCCCCCCCCCCGGGGAAACACCAACGAGCCCCCCCCCCCCATGAGTGAAACCTAAGAGCTGGCATGTATAGATCTACTTTAGTTAGTTTATATGGTGCAAATTTACCCTTCTTTCTCTATCCATCCATCCAGCACAAGCTACCATGGGTTAGAGTTCACTTCATCAGCTGCAGTGTAACGGGAGCAGTGTCTAAGACAGCAGTTTGAATACAAGGGCGGGAAGGAAGTGGGGTCAATGCTGAGAGAAGCAAACAAGCAAAGAACCCATAGGAACAACAGAGTCACAAAAGCTAACGCAGGTAATGGGATACATACCCATAGTCCCAATTTAAACCATACTTAATTTAGTCTATGGATGATTTTTTTCTTCTGCAAATTCCCCATTCAACTAGTTTTTTAAAGGTTTGCTGAGAACAGCAACCTGGTTCAGACATCAGTTAGGGTACTGTGGCATCTTGGGGTACTTACTGGAGGTTCTTACAAGGGTGCTACACAGTGTTAACACAGATAATCCCAGAGATTTCAAACAAGATACTAAAAACTTTCTGACCTGTTGTGGTCTTTCTAATTTCTTTGCCACAGAAGAATTGCTTTATTGTTTTTCTGTAGTCAAAAGACAAGTTAAAAGTAAAAGCTGGCACTTTTCGAGGGAAGCCTCGAGTCTAGAAAGGTTGAGAACTACTGGCTTTTAGGAAGACGCATTTGACTTACAAAGCTGTAAACTAGTGGTGCCTAACTTTTTGCCCTGTGAGCTGGATGGGCAATACCTGGTCCATTTGTGGGCTGGATCTGACCAGGTGCCTGATTTGGTGCAAAGGGTGGGCAAGGACCCAACCCACCCACATGGAGGTGGGGCAGGGGTGAAGGGCCCAGCCCCAACCCCAACCTTGCCACATGGGGTGAGGGGCTATTGCCCAAGGCAGCATGGGAGAGGAGAGGGAGGCCCGGCCTCAACCGAGCCACATGGGTCTTGGGCATTGGGTGTTCATTGCTACTGCTCCCCCACTGCCAAATTTCCTGACCCACAGGGAGCTCTGTGGGCCAAATGCCATGGCTCTGCAGGCCAGATTTGGCCTGGGGGCTAGGGGTTGAGCATCCCTGCTTTAAACAATCTAACCTACATTTAGGTCTACTGGCAACTAATATAAGGACCCAACTTTTGCTAACAAACTCAAAAGGACACTCAGGATTTGTCTACCCTGCAGTTTCAGGTATGACCGCATCTCCTGTAGAAATACCCATGTTGCAGACCCCTAAACATTTTCAAATGGAGGTGTGGACCCCTTTGGAAATTTCAAGTGGAGGTGCCCCTTCGACTTTTAAGTGTGGGTATTCATATACTTTTTATTAATCATATTCATCTTTCATGGACCCCTTAGACATAGTCTGTGGATGCCCAGAGGTCAGTGGACCACAAATTGAAAACCACTGTTTTAGATACATTATGTCCATGAAGAATATTAAGAGTTAAATGAATGGATAAGGTAAATCTGGAGATAGATACTAGCAAGTACCGGTAGGTTCCTACATAAAGTAGAGCTGTGCAAAGGTTTGGTCGCTGATTTAATTCGGCAGAGATTTGGCCCAATTCAGTGGCTGAATCTCTGAATCTGAATTGAATCAGGAGACCCTTTAATGTCTCTGAATTGAATCGGAACCCAGCAAATAGATTCATAGAGATTCGGAAAGATTCGATGATTCGGACATAGACACAGCTTTAAGTGTTTTTTCTACATACCTCTAGGTACCAGGCGGCTCATGAACACTGAGATGGTGGGGCGGATGGAACGTCCAACAGAGGGGGAGGGGGGTGGTTCCCAGTGTGTTCGGCGCTGAACCCGGAAGTACTTCTGGTCCACTTCCAGGTTTGCCGCCGAGCACATGCCCCCCCCTCCTGTGGGATGCTCCATCCACCCCACCATCGAAGCATTCATGAGCCACACCTGGTACCTTAAGGTATGTGGAAAAAACATTTAAAGCTGTGCCTATGGCTGAATCACTGATTCTCTGTATCAGCATCAAATGTTCAGATCTGGATTCAGCTGAATCGAATCGGGGACAGTGATCCGAATCAATGAATCGAATCACTGCCCCCACTTTGGGCCGAATCAAATACGGCCCACTTTGCACACCCCTAACATAAAGACAATGAATATGGTTTGGAAATGTAGCAACACCAGGAGCACACAAACATTTTAGAAGCAAGCTTTTCACTGGAAACTCCTAGGGAAGAGATGTCAAGGAAGACTAAGAATATCATGGCAACAAACTGTTTACAAGTATACGAGTCAGAGAGGGAACATCTGGGAAGAAGAATGTATAAGGGACTGAAAGGTTTGTAGAAGTCATCTATTTGTTTTATATAGCACACTTTCCTAGAAGAAGTAAGAAAAATTAAGACTTAGTCACTACAGAAAAAGGTCGCTATAACTAGGATGTATTCTATCAGCTAGACTTTTAAGACAGCCACATTCCGCATCTACATATTTATTACTTTGGAGGAATAGGACCAGTTTTGTGTGTACTAGTACTTATTAAAATTTAAGTCTTTTTCATTTTATCACATCTTTCAATGATTTGCTTCTCTACATCTATACATGTCCTTTTTAATGCATCTAAAAAGATGCATTTATAGAAACATTTATAGAAAGTTAAATATAATGAAAGCATAAACAGTTAATGGACTAGAGTACATAATGGCATGGGGAAAATGGTATAAAAAATTAATCTTACATGATGCAATACTTTTTATAGATTTTGTTACTAAGATACAAGGAACAAGCATGCATTAGGCAAGGAATTCTTGAGCTATGCCTAATCTTAGTATTCAAAATGTTTCATTTATATCTATAACTAGCAGGCCACCCAAAATTGAGGGGTTTTACCAACATTAAAACTTGTGGTAGTCCAACTACAATCAGTCACTGTAGTAGTAAGAGTATTCCTAATACCAACACTAATAAAATAATGTGCCCTAATTATAAACTATCCCACACTTGTTTTATTCTCAAATATCCATTAAAATGTCATTGTAGCATTTCACTTGTTATTTATAAGGATACTGGATAATCATTTAAACAAGGAGTCCTCAAATGTTATTAGCGTAAATCACATAATAAGTGATGTCTGTGACCACCTTCTATTCAATAATAGCTCTCCTCCTGTATAATCCAAACAGTATGTGTGACTACTATTTCAGTTGCTTAGATGAGAATATAAAGAAAATATTACATGAAGTTTATTGCAACTCTCTTAAGTGCAATACGTGGTTCTGAAAATATTTTAAATATACTTGTCTACTTTCCATTCTAGCTGCCATTTTACCTGCTCTGCTTCCTTCAGTTGGAAACCAGGGGAACTTGCATGCTAGTTGTTGACAGACCATAATCACATGACTGCTTCACCATATTCTGGTAGTCTTTATCCTTTTCTAAGCCTCACAAAATGTTCTGTCCCGTCCTTCAAAACACCCATGGGAGCTAGCACAGATCACCAATGGGACACAACAGGTTTTTTATGTTAGAGGTGCCTCAGAATGTGCAAAATGATTGCAATGAAAGCCACAGTGCACATGAGAGCCATATGCAGATATTGGCTTGAGGCCCAGCAAAAATGACAGCCCTTTTATATAGTTTAAAGGGGTTCTGTTTCCCCATATCCCAATGGGGTAATTGTATGCTTGGTTAGTGTCAGACACCAATATTTTGGAGGGAATGAAACACTAAGTGATGTCTTGAGGTCCCTTCCAGCCCTACATTTCTGTGATTTTATAAGTGTCAACTACCAGAGATCTCGGGTAAGGTTTAGGATTGGTGACCCATTCTTCCATTGGAGCAGAGCTGCAGGCATTTTGAAGGAGATGGTAATAGAACAGTTTCACAGGGAATGCAATAAAAGAAAAGGATGTTAAGAGACGAATGACTTTATACTGGGAGGGAGAACAAGGCACGCTGTCATTTGCAACAAAACATTGTTGTTAAGCTAATAGTAAACGCCTTTTTAAACAGAGGTCTCATTCTAGGATGGTATTTCTTGTGAATGTAATCATTTCCTTTATGCAGGAAATGGCAATTTACAAATCCTATGTTACCCAGATAGAACTCAGGCTGGAAAGCTTCAGTGCCTAAAGCAGTGTAGAGAGCTGGGTCCGACAGCACAAACCATCCGCAAATCCGCAAGCATGCAGACTTGGACAGACTGTCAGTAGCAGTCTATTCAAGCAGTCTCTGAAATCCTGGTTGCATTTAATATGCCTTCCCTTGACAAACATTGTTGGGGTAGAACCAAGGTTTTCCTCCCCTATGGTTGGATCCAGAGGATGGCCAGCAGGGACAAAGCACAGCTACACTTGGAGGACCTTTGTCTGTACCTTTTGTAAAAACCTGTGCTTGATCTATTTATTTCAGGGACAGATGCAACAGGTGCCTGCAAAACTTCATGATGTAAAACTAGGAGAGTTAAGTAAACTTTTCTCACCCAAATTTATCTTTCCCCATATTTATGGTGATGATTTTTAGATTTTCTTATATTTATTGCTCCTTCATGTTTTATTCACTATAAAGTTTATATATTTTCTTTTATTTTTATAACTGGGAGCCATCATGGTGTGTTATAGCTTGACCTGGTGAAAACAGGTATTTCTTTAAAAAAAAATCCAGCACATTTGGTTTACTGTTTATAGAGTCTTCTGTAGTTTGGAATGCTATTTATATTTATGTTGGTAGTCAATAAATCCCATCACACATTATTTTTCTGTTCAGTAGGTCACTTTAAAAGATAAAGTTCAAATCAACTAAATCCTGCACACACAATTAATCTGAGTTTTTTCGTTGTGGGGATGGATAAACCTTATAAAGGGGAAAAAAAAGGTGAAGGAGAGGCTGTTCAGAATTGTATTAAATATAAATGATAGTCTCAGTCCAGACTTATGTAAGGGTAGGGTACACAGTGTGGTAGGTGGTTATCTGTAGTGGGGATTGAACCTTTGGGCACACCATGGATTTAAAAGTAAGACATGCTACTACCTGATTTTAAAAGCCCTGGCTCTCTTGGCACATGTCTACATTGTAATCCAGAATTATGACTGCATCTTATATAGACATATTCAAGTTAGCTTTTACTTAGACACTTCAGTACAGGTAGTGGCCTAGCCATGACAGCACAGGTTTCAGCACTGATTTCAGAGGCCTTCCTGGGATCCTTGTAAGTACTCAGTGACCAAAGTCCATGGCACAGCAGCTACACTGCTGCTGGTGTCAGAGTTCATTTGAAGCTAGCTTGGATACATTGACACAAGCTGTAATCACACCTCTGATGTGCAGTGTAGATGTGCCTTCCCCTCAGCCAAAACTGTAGCCGGTTCAATTCAACTTCCAGGTCGGGCATAGCTACTAGAGAACAAAAAATGAATTACACAGGACTACCATTTTTTTTTGATTCACTGGCCATATGTAGTCTCACAAACTGTTCTTGTGAATGGTGGGCTGGTTGAATGAAAATAGAGCAGTTTTGATTTTGGAGCCAAATTAGAATTAGAACTATAAAGGAGTTTTCTCACTTATTTAGAAATTCAAATTCATCCATGCTCCCAATATCTGAAGGATCACAAACAAAGATCCAGTTTGGTTCATCCTGGCAATGTTTATGAATGGAAATAATACAGAAACAAAGCAGCAAGTTGCTGTACCTGTTCAAAAGGATGCAGCTATGTTCTGAGATAGTATTGTCCTATAAGCATTGCATTACAATACTGCCAGTTTACTATTAGTCTGATCTTTGAACACAAATTTAGCATTTATTACTTTTTTGTCTAAACAGCATGTACTTACATGTTTTCCTTAGTTTTGGCATGCTTTAAACTCAGTTTTTAAGCAAAACAAAAGGGCAAAAAAAGCTTTGACTTAAGAAGCTTCCTACATGTACATATATTTTTTACATATTCTTTACAAAACAAGTCATGAAAAAAGTGCAATATTAAAAAAAATGCATGTCTTATCCATAGGACAAGATGTTATACATGTATGCAGAAACAAAGAAATATACAATTAAAAGAAACTCAGAACAATTAACTTCATTTTTCAACCCCTTCTGGTAGCATAGTGCAATTACTACCAGATGACACAGAATCTTAAACTATACAGTAAAATATGAGAATTTTCCAGTATTACATGATTTAAAAATAGCTCTTTCAAACAAAATATTGCTTTTAAAAAGTTGGGTTCATTACCACAGGGACAAGCTGCCTATGAAATGGCAAGAAATGGAAAAACACAACTGCTTTTAAAACAACAATTTTTACCACCTGGACTCAGAGTTCAGTACAAAACTGTGGCTGCTATATATTTATTCCGTTCACATTTTTCAGTACCCTGAGGCTTCAGATAATTCATATGCTGCCTTTTTGAAAATTAAAATCTTACCATCATCTTTGTTCCATTTAGAAAATTAACTTTTAACCTTTGCCGTTGAAATTACTTATTTTTTGTACTTTCTCTCCCCTGCATCAAAGCAAGCTAGCACCAAGCTAACCGAGTCTGGTGGAGTGATGACATCAGAAAGTCTCAGAAAATATGTGGAAATCTTTTCCCTAAAGAAATGTACACTGTTCCCAACTCTTCTAATTTATTTAAATGATCATTTATAACTAAATAAAGGTTACTGGTCAGCATTACTTCACATGTTTTTGGATGGGAATTGCCAACAAGAACAATTGTATACCCCATTTAAGCCTAATAAGCAACACTTCTCAGTTAGCATTGACTTTCATTATGGCTTTACTGGCCCTTTTATTTTTATTTCATTTGTAGAACGTAACAGGGATCACCAATGACATAACTCAAACTACTTGTTAGTATAACCTAGTATTTTTATAACTTTTTACATCTATTGAAAAAAAAATGAAAGCTGTTAATCCTTTTTTACCAATACAGAGTATCCAGTGCTTAGCTTTGTATTAGCTCCAGCTGCCTATCTGCCAGAATCACACACCAAAATAATTTAAAGCACACCAAATTTATTTAAAATGGTATGAAATGGTTCCTGGTAAGAGTTATGCATTTTATAACTCTCCTCCATTTTACTCCACTTACTGCATGAGATGTCATTGACTTCTAAAAGTTAAGACACAATTCCTTGAATAGTTCAGACAAATCTAGGTGTGCTATAGTTAAAAAGCACACATTTTAAATTTCTATTCATATTTACATTACTTTACAACCTATATTAAATAAATATGAGAACCGCTACATTTTTGGTATCTTAAATATGTACAATGTTATTTCGCAATTGTTTTACTAGATGCAGTTCTATTTAGCACATCTATCCATAGTTAGCACATGAGCTTATAGGATAATGATCAAATAAAACCCCAAAGCTATTCCTAAGCAATACAAGGAATTGTGTAGTAGGTAGTTCAACACAATGCAACAAGCAGAAATTCCTTAAATATGCTTCTCAGAAAAACAGAAGTCATTGAATACGTCTCAACATCAGATTTTGCTCAGAACAACATGCACAGTATTAGTTAACAGTTCTAAAATTACCAGGTGGGCTACTGTGCTTGAGGAAAGTAGTATGGAAACAGTACTTTAACTAATAACTTTGTTTAGTATAATACATTTGATGTCTATTACTGTTTTCCTGCTTAATCTGGAAAATGTAAGCACCACAACAACAGTTGTACAAGATATCTCAGTGGCTATACAGCAAACACATTTAGGCTCTATTTGTATACAGTGGTTTCAAGTAATAAAAGCCCAAGTCATGCAACAGAGAAAATGGGAGAGCTAAATGCATATCATATTGAAACAACCATACTTGCAGTAAATGGGAGTATTAATTCATTGTATGTGTCGTTTGGAAAAAATGGAATGTATTCAGGGGGCAGGGGTGTGTGTGTGGAAGCTACTACTTTATTAGACCTATTATACCTACTGGACCAGATTCAGTCCCTCCCCAAATTTTGCCTCCCTATGCAAGCAAGGGTCATTTCCTTTTAGAAGAAATTCATTCTCTTAAAAAGGAGATCTTGAAATTCACCCACAAGAAACTCCGTACTGACCAAAACTGCAACATAGCTGAGTTAAATTAGCACATAACCAGTCAACCTGGCCAAGCCGCTTTCAACAGCTGGTGTCCCTGTTTTATGGTTACACAAATTTCCTGTAGGCCACAGCCGATCCTTTGCATACTACCACACATTTAGCACATCATTCCCACTGCTAGAGACTCTAAGCTAATGGTTACATTCAACCTCTCCCCACACAGATCTTTAAGCGAACCTGACTCAGAAGTGTAATCAGTTCTTGCTTTGCCAATGGCAGGATCGCAAACATGTGGACTGACGTTTAAATTTTTTTTAGATGTTCATGTGCTAGTGGCAATTTTTCCAGGCAAAATTCAGTTTGATTCTTAGCGGTCAAGACCAGGCTCTCTTCTTCCCCAAATAGCACAGATCAGCGCTTTCAGAAGTGCCATGGTCACTGTTTTCAGGTGCACCAGCTGAAAAGGAATGGTTCATTAGTATTTCTAGCCACTAAAATAATGCACTGCCTTTTTAAAAATTAATTGGAAAGAAAGAAAAATGAATAAGTTAAAAAGCAGAGAGAAGCAAGAGAGAGAACAAAAGAGCAAAAGCTAACATGCATGAAGAAAGTAAGGATTAGTCCTTGAAATTGTACCAAACACTAACTGGCAGGGAAGATGAACTAAGACTGAGTACTGAGATTTGCATGGGGGGAATGGGAGAGGAATCTTTCAGAAACAGATCCTATGTTGAGAAAGATACTTACAAGATGTTAAGGTGCCATCCTCATCTCTTATTTCATTTCAGATATCTTAGTCAGTCAGCATGATAAAAACGAATTTTTTTTATCCCTCCTCCCTCCCCAACAGTTTATAAAGCATTTCCTTTTTCGAAGCTAATAGAAAAGCTGGCTCCAAAAACAGGACTAGGTATCAGAGACTATTTTAAAGTATAAACTCTGCTACTGAGAGGTCAATTCCCTATACTCTTCCTTGAAGAAGACACTGATACATCACTGACAAGATTGAAAACTTGTCTCTCTTTAAGAAGAAAAATTGCTGAGCATCATGCACTCAATTTTTCTTCCATCTTTTATTTATTATTCAGAGCACTTGTATGAGAATAGAATCTTTGGTCTTAAAAGTTTTATTGTTCTGGTTTGTACCCTTACAAATGGCCGCTAATCAAAAGCTTAAGCTGTTATGAAAGAGAATTGTCATTCCAAAGAAAGTTGAACCATGCCTTTAAAAGCCAATGTGTATGCAGTGAATTTTAAGGAGAGTAGTTCTCATTTCAAGTTGATATGGGCAAAGCATGTTTGACATAACGCATTTTCTATGATATTTTGCTTCCTTTAGCACTTCTGACATTGAAAACTGAACCATCTAAAGAAAAGCATGCTTTTTCAGAGGATTTATTTTCAAATCTCAGCTCCAGCTCTGTTTTGGCAATAATGCATCGGCAATACAACCAATTTCATTTTTTAGTATTACATTGTTTTGGCTAATGGACTCCTACATTTTGAGTACTATAGAATGTTCAAAATTAAAGTTATGTCAAATTGCAGACAGCCCAAACACATTCACAAGCATTTGGCTTTGATTGACAAGATCTCGAAAGCTAAAAGCATCCAGAACAGGTTGGAGGCATATTCACAGCACGGTATAAGGAAAGCTGCCAGATACTTAAAAACGTATCCATAGGACACCATTATTCTTGCAAGAGTTTTCATCAGTCATTTCAATTTATCGGTTATTAATGGCTTCACTCTTAAAAGAAAGGTGCCCAGCTTGCGAATGCTACATTTAAAATTGATGGTAAATCAGCAGCCAGAGTAGCTATTTCTACAAGACCAAGGGTTGAATGAGCCTAAGACAATTAATTACCCTTGAGCTCTCGAAAGCTAAAAGCATCCGGAACAGGTTGGAGGCATATTCACAGCATGGTATAAGGAAAGCTACCAGTTCCTGTTCTTTAGCTATTATGTAGGAATATTAAATACAATGGCTTCAGATACACATTTATCAATCAGGCACTATTCACAAAACACTGGGACTAGATTTATTTTAAAACATAAAAGTCCTGTTCTAAATAGTACTGTATATTTGGTATTATGTGCATTGGTCCCACAGACTTACAGTCTGATGTGCAAAAATGTGCAGGCAATTGCACAGTTAGCTTGTCCAACTGTGTTCAGAACCTGGTATTTGCACATTCAGATGATTAGATGTTCAGCTGAACAATCACATGCAATTACAGTAACAGAAAATGTATTTTTTGGACACAGCACTAGGCGCCTGTTCTTAAAAGCCTGAATACAAAGGTTTCCACGTGGCATAGTGGCTTTATCAATTACATTATCGTGACTAAAAATAAAGTGAGCTATGGAGGAGAGAAAAGGGGGGTGGTAAAGTATATTCAAGTTAAGACAGCGAGATTAGGAAAAAACAGTCTACATTATAAAGACACAAATCGATCTTAGTATCAGAGAGTGCTCACAGGACCACTGGCTTTCTCAATATTCTGTATTGTAAAAAAGATATTTTACACATCTATTTACAATATTACTGAGATATAGTGCTTGATGTCTTAAAAATATTAAAATATATGATGACAGTACTGGCTGTTCTGATGTATACTCTGATGTGTTAAGGCAGTAGTACAATTAGACATCAGTGAAAGTGTCAAGCGAAGCTACTTGAACTAAGACACTGAAACTTTTCCCTTAAAGACTGGACTATATTCTGCTGATTAGGAGATGGTACTCTCCACAAGTAGTCATTTAATTTATCTGAATCACTGTATGCAGTCAGATAAGGGGTAAGTGCGTGTTTGCTGTTCGCTGATTTTGCAGAAGTACAAGACATGTTTTTGCTTGAGGGAGTGTCAGAAGAATCACCATCTACATTATTCAACTTTGGGTCTGATTTCTTTGTTTGGTTCTGCGTAGTCTCTAAGTCAGACCCCTCATCATCAGATTTTATCTCAACATAGTCATCGTCATCCCCTTCTTCTTCAGTATCTTTGAAATTACAAAAATAGTTCTGCGTCGCTATTTGTGCATTTAGTGGCGAGTTCCTGTTTACTCTCAGGACTTTCTGAGAGTCTTGCAGAATCATGTCTGAACAGCTTTCAGGGTGCTGCTTTCTTACACTGGATACCAAGAATCCTGAAGCAGCAGTTGACAGAGACTCTTGGTAGGTATCAGATCTAAAATGTCTATTTGAATGTAACTTTTTCTTGTCCATTTCATTGGGGTAGATAATTGCCTCCCCAGACCTGTTGACCACAACTGAGGAAGAGGACTGTGACCTGCTGTACGCTTGTGATTTTGTAATGTGTGCTCTTCTTCCAAGAGAGTTATACATGTTATCTTGATGTAAATTCTCTTTGTTAGGCTGACTTATAATAGCACTCCACCTTTGTGCTGGAACATGCAGACGTGTAGAAATCTGAAGGGAAGGCACTGAACAAGCTGATGGCAACTGTCTTAGATTGTTTTTTGTGCCAGTCTCTGCAGGGGAACTCTTTGACTTTGGTTCCTGGACTTCCGGCCAAGGAGAGAAATCAGCTAGTTCTCCATTACTGTATGTAGAATGTAAAAACCAGTCTTCTTCCCTTAAACATTCACTAGCTAACTGAGAATGAGAAGGAGATGTTGATTCTGGTGAGGAATACCTTAAGGTTGATGACTCCTGAGAACTGGCCCAGGTATCCTTTTGGATTCTGGGTGAAGTCTCTCTAAAAACAATCTGGTCATAAAGCTGGGAATATTCAGCAATTCTGGCACCTGGAAAAGAGAAGTATTTAACTTGTATTTCATATGATGGTGGTAAACTTTAACAAGCAACATGAAAATTAAAGTTCAGAAACCAGAACACTGTACAGCAGTCAGGATAAAAGTTTAAAACAGCATCAATATGTTTAGCCTTTAAGTCCAGCCATGAAGCCTGGGCCCTTCTTTGTCAGCTTGGAGCTGCTGAGTCTGATTTGTCAACATCCACACAGGGTAGCAAATGCTCTCACCTTTCATCTTCTCCGTGTTTTCTGGATCCCAATTGACCAGACCATCAGACAGAATGCATAAGAAAAAAATGGCCACTGGGGCCTCCCAAAGAGGATAACTAGGAAACCAGGTTTGTTTTTTAAAGAAGGGCCTGTTCTTAAGAAGGGCTGGTTGTAGGGTCACAGGGAACTAGTGGGAATCTCTAAGAATCTCTTAACCATCTACAGTTAGGGATCTTTATTCCAACTCTGAACTTTGAGATCTCCTTCTGATGGATTCCTACACATTTTTTGCTATACTGATAGCCAGTTTTGCTGTTTTTATATTTATTTGCAATTCTGATGAGGCACCACTGGCTATACCTTATATGACAATGTTATCCAGGGAGCAAAGAACATTGGTGGATAATGTCTGTACAGTAGAAAAGCTGCTAAAGGGCACTCAGAAAGCTGCCTTAAGTTTTGAACACCTGTGCCTATATTTTTAAAAGTCCTTAACTATCCTGAACATGCACAAGTGACTATCCAGTAACTGTGGCCTTGATAGCTCTAGGGCTTCAACTTGTTTTTAAATTTTCTGTGGAAAAAGAGTCTCATGGACAGGAAATGTCTATGGCTAAAGTATGCTCTCTGCTGTACAGATGCTCAAGCAAGGGGAAAGACAAGGACGTTTCTATAAAGGAACTGGACCTGGCTTCTGTAATGGTTGGTCCTCCAGGTATCAAGAGAGCCAGTGGGCTAGAAGATGTGACTTGGCATTATGTCCAGTAAAACCTGCAAATCCCCCTAGTCAAAAAAAACAATCACTGGATGCCCAGAAGCATGCTTTCTACTTTCCAGCCTATCCTAAACCATCCTGCCCATGAAAGCAAGTCAGCTAACAACACTATACATTTTTCCTCTTCCATCTATCAAGTAATGGTAGGATTTTTCCCTGAATATGGAATCTCCATTTCTTCATTCCTTATAATTTTTATTCCCACTTACACTAAAATAAAAATAAAAATCTCTTTTAGGAAGATAATACTAATATCATCCCAGTGATTAATCAAGAAGTGACAGGTTAAGAGCAGTTTAAACCAATATGCAGATTTCACTGAAAAGTTATTAAAACAGTTGCTATAGTTTACCAGTTGCTACAGTTTAACATACCAATGGCAGGACCACCTTGTTTATTCTCCTCCAAAATGGCTGCAAGGTCTTTGTGCTTCAGTTTAGGTTGACGGCTGGCTGGCTGTTCCTGCTCTGGACTTTTTACCTTCAAAAGCTGGTTAGCCTTCTTAATTTTTTGGCTGTATTGCCTTGCCATCAAAAAGACCCTGTTTTTTGTTTTGTCCACAACATCTAATTCATTGTCAGTGCTTTCTGTATGTGCATTGGATAGAATACTATTTGCAGATTCATAAGGGCTATCCATGAAAGGCAGCTCACTGCAGAAGGAAGATCTGCTTAGGCTCATAAATGAACTCTCTTTACATGGCGGTGTTTCTTCACATTTGACATTTGCTTTGTGTTTCAAAGTCTTAGGGAAAACAGGGGTTTCAGGCAGGGAGAGGGTAGAAAGAGAATATTCCACATCCTTACTCAATTCAGGTGTACTTCCCACATGCAGCCTTTCCTGTATGTCATCTTTGCAAACAGGAAAGGCTGCAAGGAGGCGGTCTCTTGTCTTTTCTTCATTTTTCTTGATATAATTCTCCAGATCATTCCAAATTTCATCTACTTCCTCTGAAAGTTTATCTGCTACAGACTTGTGAGAGTGTGAATCAGAGTTGGAGGAACTATCTACTAAGCTCAAATAATCATTATCTAATGGAACACGATGGTAAGGACTTTCATCTTCACTGAATTGAAGACTCTCTTCAGAAACAAACTGCCGTAGACTATCACAACAAGCAAAATCTGTTTCCAGGCCCAAAAAGCTCCTCCTTTTAGAGCATTTAAGGCGGTCACATTTAAAAGTCAACAGTGGTGGATCTGGAAGCACTATGGTGTCATAGATGTTATCCTCAACAATCCTGAGCTCATCTGAACTTGAAGTAGGTGCCTCTCTACTGTGTAGGCTCTCATCTCTAGTTTCAAAAATAGAGGTCCTATTTTGATCTGCCTGCCTCTTTTTGGAAGTCAATTCCAAACTAATTTTGTTTTGACTCTCATACAGAGAGTCTCTAGCAGATCTTTGGGGACCACGATCAGACTCTTCCCTCCTTGTGAGACCCATCAGTTTTAAATCTTCATAGCTTATGTTATCATAGACATGTTCTATATCATCAATGGTCAGCTCTTCTGAATATTCTGGAAAAGCATTCATGCCAGTTCTAGAACCACTTTTTACCTCCCTTCGAGAACTGTGCTGGCTAAGTTCACTGGCTCTGTACCTTGCACCATTTGGGCCAGTATTACTTTCACCAGCACTACTGGCTCGTCTAACAATTTTGTGATGATTGGAACTGGCAGCATCATTCTGATGAACTAGTCCCAAATGCCAGCTGCATGGGCGACCAGAAGCGCCCCTCTCTTCACAGACAGTTGAACTTGAGTTGGATGTAGATACTGATGGTACAAACATCTGATAATCATCTTCATCTTCATCATTTTCATGATGCGCTCGTCTGCTGGGGAATAAAGCTTGTCGAATTTGATGATCTGTCCAGATGTTTCTGGCCGTTGTACCTCCCCCCAGGATATTCATGATTAGCGAACTGTTCTGTGGTGTGCTGAACTGCCTAGATGACTGCCTGGCAGAACAAGAAAATGGAAGATCTGTATTCAACTGGGTTGATTCTTCATCTGAAGGGTCCTTGGAGTTCTGTGGAAATTTGAAACAGTGCAATATTATTAGTTTATTTTTAAAACTGATCAGGAATTTCTGCTATTCTGAGGGCTATAACACTGACCCACAAGCTCTGCAATGTGGAACTCGGTGGTGACATGTGATAGCATTAGTTTCCATTGCTGCAGACCACTCATTACTCTTCTCACCCTGAGGCCAGATTTGTGTGGCTCCTAGTCCTTGCTACTGCTCAGAAGCTGAACCTATACAGCATTCCTCTACCCACTGGGCATATTAGAAATTGATGGGTGACTGCAAATAACTCTGCAAGTTCTTTTTTTGGAAGACTAGGAGCTGGACACATGGAATGGACTGTACAAATTTACCAGGGATTAGCTTACTTTCAAAAATCTGCTAGCCAGAGATGGAGTGAGAGCCATGTCAGGTCAAAAAAAAACAGTCTTGACCCAGTAGAATCAACACCAGTTTTGGGAATATACCGTGTTCTCCTTTCCCTGGGACTCTGCAATCAACATAGCCACTCACAACATGTACTATAAAAAAGGAAGGCAGAAGTAGCTCATCTACATTACTTCAACTCTTTCTTACTGCTAAATAGCTTTGCTCTTCCTTCTCATAAAGCTGGCACAAACCTCCATTTTCGTTGCCTTGAAGTACTTATCCAAACAAAAGAGGATATCTCCACTGCATCCTCAGTAAATGATTCCATTTCCTACCTTACCACTTAAAACAATCCTAATATCTACATTTTTAAAATAGTGAATATGAAGTTTTGAATCATTACTACTTGTTTTAGAACATTGTCCTCTACCAGAAAGAAACCATTTCCTTCTTCCATTTTCATCTTGTTCCCTAGCCTACACTATATCTTGGGAAGATGCAGATAAATCTACATCTAGTTTGTAGGGTATGTTCCTGAATGTGGTTAGCTAGGTAGATATAGATTAGATACATTTTCAGAATCACTGTTGATCCATTACAGAAGGAAAGCTATTTTTTTCTTATATGCTTTGATAATTTTATTTACAGCTTTGCATTGGATTGCTTCCAATCTATCAATTAATTAATTCTCATGACAAATGTGAAACTTAAGGGGCTGGATACCTAAGGGTGCATAGGCTTGATTCTTCATGTTATGGAACATGCAGAGATGCAGGTACCTTTAACTCCCATTAATTTTAACAGTACTACCCTCCTGCTTGAGAAATTAAACATGTGCTTAAGTGTTTTGCTGAATCAGGCCTTTGATAGGAATTTAGGACATTCAATACTTTGCAAGATTAAATCCCAAGAAAGAAAATGCAACATTATTTGCTTAGTGCTTCTCTTCTCATTAGTGTAACATGGTGCTATGCAATAGCATCAGATCACTGGTAATAATCGTTATCATGGAAAGAAGTTTGTGCATTAAATGTTTGGCAAATAGTTACTTAATTTAAAGTAAAATGATATGATTATCTTGATTATTTTAAAATGATCATGTGAGAGACTAGTGCAAACTACGAAGCAGCTGTGTAATGTGTAGCAAATGATTTTGGATGCTAACTTTATTACAATGATTGCACAAACTAAGGCTAAATAAAGGTTCATATGTGCTGGAATAGTTGAAGAGACATGGATGGTTTCAAATGATAGTTGAATACCCACCCACGTCTCCAACAATTCCAGAATATATGGTTTCAAAACAAATGAACCTTTATTTAGTCTTACTGTACAGTATACGAATATTGTAATAAAGTTAGTATCCTAAATAATATGCAAACACAATTGCTTCTTAGATTGCACTAGTTTCTCACATGATTTTAAAGTTATAATTAAACACCTTTTGATTATTTTCAAGGATTTTTTCTAGCTTTTTTTTTTAAGTTTATTTAAATATCAATGAAAAAATTCTTGAGCATAGTTATTATTATGTGATTTTATTTATATCTGCATCTGTGCATCTAGAAGATACACACAAATAGGTCTGTGATATGAAAGGATATGTAAGAAAAAGAGGAGAGAGGGGGAGATAAAAAGGGAGACAGAGAATTTTAGTTTTAAATACCTGGACTGCACATTTGTTGAGATTGACACTTCTTCGTTTTTCAACATTTTCAGCAGCTTGGCTATTGAGTCTTTTTCTACCTCCCTTTGATTTTTGCTGTGAATTTTGTTGCATGCCCTGTGAATAAAAAAGAACAGGTATACTATATTCTATAGTCCTTTGAACAGCAATGTTGGTGAAAATTACTAGGTTCTGGAAAGCTGTGTCCCAGGTCCAGTTTTCACAATACAAAAAGAATGGGAAAATACTTGAGAGAGTTCAAAAGAGGGTTTAAATTCAGATCCTTCTTTTCTAAGGCTGCAACAGAGAACCATTGATGTATAAACAAAACACTTGTATTTTTGGATGTTACTATTGTATAGTGGGGAGCCATCCCATAGCTCAACAAACTACACCTGCACACACCAACTTAAATGGCTACTACTTACATTTTACAATTTTTGTGGGTAAATTCAAATCACCTACTATAAAGTCAAACAAACCAAAGAGGTTACCTGTTCAGACTCTTCCTCGTCATCAGCATCTATCTGATCTGTAGCACATATTTGGAGACTCTCATCTTGATCACTGCTGTAAGCTTGTTCAATGGGCTCTTGAAACTGATTTGCTAGCCCACTGTGGTCTAATGACACTTTTTTTCTAGAACTGAGCAGAGTTTCATTTGATCCCGGTTTGGCAGCCTGAGAAAGCAGGGCTCCTTCAATACTGATCCGCTTTAAAAAAAAAAAAAAGCATTAATATTTTATGTATACTTTAATATGTCACAATCATCACTAATTTATGCTTTAAGATTAAAAAAACACAAATGCAACGTTCCCAAATGCATCACAGCTTTGGTCTGCACGTAGTTGGCTGTACTTAAGTAAAGCAGAAATGTAAATGGATTGATAAATCTTTCAAAGATTATCTCAGATGATATACTGAAAAATGACCATGGGGAGAAAAAGGAATTGGGGGAGAGACTCAATGGTTTAAATGTTTTAATGCCAGATAAAATGTGCACTACTTGGGAATAAAACTATTTCCAAAGTACCAGCTATGCAAACTTGGCCTAGAATCTAGTGCTCAAGGAATGCATCCAGACAAGAACACACATGGGGTATGCAGCACCGCAGACCCATCTGCAGCATTGCACACCACATGCGCTGCACATGCAGGTGTTCCCCACACTGCTAGTTTGCTGCACCGGGGGGGGGGGGGAGGGGGGGGTTGGGTTACCTTTGGGAGATCCTGGTGTCAAAAGACCCTGCACCTAAAAAAAAAAATGGGGTGGCGTACTTGGCAGCAGTGCACACTGCCCAAAACCAGAGCCTGGCCAGAAGAAGCCATACTATGGCTGCGGATCAGGCTCCCTGCTGTAGGACTGCTGTGACTGCAGCCCCTGGAGGCCTCTAGGACCTCAGGTAAGGCTGCTGGAGCCAGCCCAGGTGCTGGTCCCAGCATCCCACTACCCTACTAGGGCAATTTGCCATGCTCCAGAGCATGTGTGCATGGGGGGTTCCCTGAAGACAAGTAGCATGTGCCACTGCTCTTTGTCCCCAGGGAAACACACATTCCCACTCATGGGGACACATCCAAGAACTCTTCTCTCAGGTACAAGAGGAACTTTATTAAAAAAGAAAAGATACAAGCTAGAAGAGAGTCTATCTTACTGTTCCATAGCTTTACTGAATCTGCTAGACCAATAAAAATAATAGTAATAAAAGACTCTAATAGTAATGATGAGATTTTAAATTGCATATTAGGAATAGAAATTTTGCATAACATATTTTATGATCTAAACATATATTTAAAAGTACTTTTGTAATATCATAAAAGCTAACTAGGAAAAAGTGCATCAACCAATTTTTTTTATCAGCTATTACTGAAATAAAGTTTGTTGTACTTTGTAATGGTACTGGGTACACTATAACATGTTTTGTCCTTCTTTTAAAAATGGCATACAATTCTGAAGGTTTGCATACTTAAATATTTTGGATTCAAACAAAGCAATAGGTTATGGGATCTACTGAAATATGAAATACATACATGTCTTACCTTCTGCATATCTGAATTTATTTCTGAAAAGAAATAAAAATATGTACTTCATTATTATTAAGTAATCATGGCAGTATCTGTCTGTACCATTGTATGTATTACATTAATATTTCAATCACAAACCACATTTTCTAAGATTTACAACTCAGTTTTTTCTTGCTGAAACCTTATTTTCCCAGAAAGATTTAAATAGGTGGTAATGACAGTAAGACATTAATTTTATGAAAGATTCTATCTTGCTCTTTTAAATACTTATGAAATGGAGTAACTTTATGTATGGGAATAGTCCAGATAAGACTACTAAAGTAGTACTTGAAAAGAGCTTGCAGGATCATAGCCTACACATGGAAATTCAGAAGTAAAAAATTAATTTAATCTGTTTTCTCTGTGCTGCAGATTTTTAAAGGTGGTGCTTGAGGCTACACACTTTGGGCAAACTATTCAGCTGACATAAAATCATTACAACTCTACTAACTTCACTAGAGCTATATCACTTAATATCACCTGATGATCCAGTCCTACCTGTATCACGAACTGCATGTACAGTGGGAACAATCATGAACAGAATTTTAGCCCAGACTTGAATTTTAAGTCAGGCTGCCTCACCTAATTTGCTTGATGGGTTAATATTGATTTAATGCTACAATTAATAGTAGGACACGTTCTTGGGTAAATGTGATATCTTTTATTAGACCAACTAACTACTTAGAAAAATTATTCTTTACAAGCTTCTTTCAGGCACAAACTTCCTTCTTCAGCCTCCTGGTGTTTGTGTGCTCTCTTGTGTGAAATAGAAGCTTAAGCCCATATGCAAAATGAAGATCTGTGAAAATGCAAATAGATGGCAAAGAAGATTTTACCAGCTACATTTTATCACTGGTTAAAATTGCCCTCTTCCTCCTCCCCAACTACCCATCTCGCACCTATTAACTCCCATCCCCTCTGATCTTCCCTGCCACACATTTGCATTTTCACAGGCCTGCATTTGGCATATTGGCTTAAGCTTCTATTCACCCAGGAGAGTACACAAACACCAGAAGACTCTCCTTAGGTCTGAAGAAGGGTGTTTGTGCCCGAAAGCTTGTAAAGAACAATTTTTCCAACTATTTAGTTGGTCTAATAAAAGATATCACATTTACCCAAAGAACCTTATCTGCCTACATCCTTAGACCAACATGGCTATAACCAACACACCCAAAAGAGTTAATAAAAGCGGCTTCAGTTGCAATATAACTTACCACTTGACTTCATAACTTTATGGACTCTGGATGAAGGTTCTGAAAAAGAGAAACAAGTATGTAATAATAATCACTGGCATCTTGACCAATGTTTTAAAAACAGAAGCCAAAATGTATACTCCTGAATTTAGGCATCTTGTTCAGAATAGTGAGATTTAGCTGCCTTTAGAAAAACCACCCTCTAAAAAAAATATTTTGATTTTCTTAAGGGCCAAGCCCACAGCAGCTCTGATTATAAATATTTATTTTGATGGCATTTGTAGCTTTATGTTGACTGAAAATAGAAACAGATGAATGTTACAAACATGAACATTCAGTCTATATTTTACTTCGTCTCTTTTAGATGCACAATAGTATCAATGTTATATAATCATTTTGTATTTACAGATAATACTTGAAAGACACTTGAAAACCCAAGGACTTTATTGTTGATCAGTGCCAAAAGTTGGTTTATATTAAAACCATTACCATCAAGCACTCTTAAGCTCTACTTACAGCATTTATTAACTAATGTAAATTTAAAGCATTTAGTGTAAACTACAACTGCATAATGAAAATGTGGAATGTAAAGGCATCCAAATGATATAAACGTTTTATCTATTGCAAGAAAATTCAGGAAAGGTTATTAGCGCTAAAGAAAATCTTACTATTCCAATCACTATGTGTTGAATTTCTAGTTTCCAGAATGTTGTAGTAAGTAAGTAGACGTAATCTGGTTTAAGATAGCAAATTCAATTAAATCTGGATTGAATCAGATTTCCAAGGTATCAATTTTAATAGTTGTTTTTTTAAATAAGAAGCATGTCATAGCTGTACAAAAATAACACAGGCAAGCCAGTATACAAATTATCCTTTATCCATCAAAACACAAACTGTTTTAACATGCACCATTTGGATTTTAGGCTAATGTAATAAAACACAAATTGTTAAAAGAGGTCTGTATTGTTTCTCTACCTAAATCCAATCCCTCTCTGCACAAAAATATCCTCATTATTTCTTACTTGCCCATACTTCTGAAGGTGTGATCCTGGCTTTCTGTGATAAAAAAAATCACTGATAAAAATTTTTTCTCTGATAAAAAATTGCAAATTCTCTGATAAAAATCTGTGGTTAAAATTAAATGCCCAACACAGCCCTGCTGGTGTCCCTCACTCCCCACTCCAGCCCTGCTTGTTACTCTTGCCCCCCAGCCACAGCCTCTGCCCCCCAGCCCTGCTGCAGGGGGCCCCCAGCTGCCAGAGCTATGGGGCCAGGGACCCAGGTCTGCAGCCCCCTGCCCCCAACAGAAGGCAGTGGCTGCTACAGCAGGAGCACGAGCCGGCTCCCCCTCTGCTGCTGCCTGCTGCAGGCTTGGGTGAGGCCAGCTCCCAGTGGCAGCAAGCCCTGCTGGGGGATGGGGGGGGGGATCCATGCCCCCCAGATCTGTGTGGAGGGTGGGGGCAGGGTGGGTGTGCGCTGCCCCTGTGCACACAGAGGAAGTGTGGCCAGGGCAGCATAGAGCTTGCAGCAGCAGGCAGCTTTTGTGTGTGGCCCCGCTGTGCCAGTCACACATGCTGCACTCTGGAGAGCCTGGGGAGCACAGCATTTGCAACCCAGGGTTTGCAGCTGGCTGGGCAGTTCAGCTGGGGGAGGGTTTGTAGCCTGCCTGCTCCTGGCCAAACAGCTCTTGTAGGCTGGAACTCAGCCAACCTGCACAGCTCTTTGCAAAAAGTGGAAATCCTTTGGTTTCTCTTCTAAAAGGGAAAATCTGTGTTTTCTCTGATAAAAATGGGAAATCCATGGTTTTCTCTGTTTTTCCGTGGGAAACAGAAAACCAGGATCCCTGGTGATGACACATACACTAAAAATTTTTTCTAGTTAACTCTGAACTAATTTTGCCTGTCCTGCGGGGGGACTGGAAGACTATAAGAGCCAAAATGATTTTGCTTCCATCTTTACAGCAAAGTAGGCAGGTCCCAGGGGTACTGGAACCAGCAGTGGGACAGGGGGCATGAGCCTTGGGAGTGATTAACAGGAGAGGGGGTGCCAGATCAGAGGCAGAGGGGCACTAGAAAGGATGCAGCTATGCTGCTATTCTGGCAACAACCAGCTCCAGCTGTATAGAAAGGGGAATGTGCCAGGGGATGAAGGCAGGAGGGTGCCCTCTGCCATCAAATTAAGATTTCTCCTGTAGCTGCTGGGATCCTAGACCTGTCTCTGCTCTGCCCACTGGTTTCTTCCACCTCTCCATGCAGCCAGAGCCTGAAACTTCCAGGGCCCTAGAGCTCAGCTTCACCCCCTTGGTTCTGCGCACCAGCCAGAGCCTGTAGCTGCCCAGAGCATAAACCCTCACAGGTACGTCTTGGGATTATAGTGTGAGCTCAAGGGTAGCTCAGGTTTTGACCCGCACCTCCAGCCATGCAAACAAGCAGACTCAAATCACCAACAAGCACATGTCTGAGGACTGGCTCTGTGGATGCAGTAGGGGGTTCAAGAAAAAATACATATAGGAGTGCACATTAAAACTGTACACATTAAGACTGTGGTGCAGGTTCAGCCTATGTAAAATGTACAAGGTCACTCTGGTACAGGCAAAATAACCCAAGACTGCTGATGCCTGATCTTGTGCTGCATAAAGCCACAGAACTTGTTCCTCCCTGTCCCCTAAAAGCACATTAAAGTAGGCTGATAGATAGCTTGTATGGGGAAAAAGAGTTCCTAGTGCTTGTGTAAGCACATACATTTTCCAATTCCACTATTGAAACGGCAAATTGATAATGCCAGTCGAAATTATCCAATGGAATGTTTTTGCACTGGAAGATGCTAATTTGAGGACACTGACCCACTCCATGAGAACATGCTGATTTTAAGAAACATTTCAGCAGAGCACTGGCAGGTTTCCAATAGGACCCTGCCTACCAAACAGGTTCTGAAACCTGCCAGGTTTTCTGCTAGTATTCCCACCTTGAGCTTGGGGAGTCTGACTAGAACCCCATCTCCTGAACTCCCAGGCAACCCTGAGTCCCAGGCTCTGGTACAGCATGCCCAGGAGGGAAGCTATATCACCCAGGATTTTCTTCTTCCCCAATAAACAACTTGGCAAGCTTCCCAGATCCCTCACTGCCTCTGAAAAACAGTCCAGATATTCCTCATCTTCCCCTTGGCATCTGCCTAGGAGTTCCCCCTTGTCCCTTCTTCCTCTTTTACCCCAGGAACAGCATCAGCATCAGTCCCAGTAGAGAGGGAGACATCATGTTGGTTAAGCACTAGAACAAACTATCTAGAGAGGTTGTGGAAACTCCATCGCTGCAAGGTTTTAGGGAAACTGGTCAGAGAAACACTCGAATGAGATGTTCTGGACAGGGATGATCTTGGCTTGAGTAATGGGGGTAGACTAGATGACTTCCCGATTTCCCTTCCAGCCCTACTTTTCTAGGATTTTATCACATTTTCTGGCCAGGTCTACTGATCACACTATTTCACTTCCATGTGGAGAATCTTAGACTAGCAATAAAGACAAATGAACAAAATTCTGGCAAGTAAGCTGCTTCTATCATTAAAGCAGCAAATTAGTGGAGGTAGTTTTCTTTTCACATGAAACCTCTTTCGGTAACTTACTCCCTGCCTTTCTTCTAACCCCATGCATCACTTGAAACCATGTTTACACATTTTTCTTTCATTGTCTTTTGTCAGCAGAGCTTTTTAATCACCTGACTTCCTTCTCACTCTCCGTGGAGTGATGCCTTCCTTAAAAGGATAGGTTGCTTTAATTTCTCCCTCTGGACTGTAATGGAATCCTGGATGATCTGTAAAATAATTACGTCAATAAAATCAAGTATTAATAAAAACACTGTGATTCAGTGTTATGTGATTCACTTGTAGGATTGACTTATAGAACTAGGAGATGTGCCATGTGATTCCCTTATAGGACAAGAAGATGAAGACCCACCCACAGAGAGCTCAGGGGCCACACCAGAAGATCATCCAAGCATGACTTTTTCCCCAATCCTGGCCTAGCACACGCATGCACACACCATTCAAAAATAGTTGGGAAAGAGGATTCAGGGAAAAGGGAGATCCTGTCAGATTCCCCTTATGAAGTTTTCTTGTGGTTAATTCTTTGGGTGTGGTTGCCTCCTATAGAACAGCCTGCAGAACTCAGACCCAACTCAAGATCCTTCTAGACCAGGGGCGGGCAATTATTTCAGGCAGAGGGCCACTTACTGAGTTTTGGCAAGCCATCGAGGGCCGCATGACAGGCATCCAGGGGCAGATAAATATTAATTTTCTAAATTTTTTAGGGGCCCCGCAGACTGGATAGAATGGCCTGGCAGGCCACATTCGGCCCATGAGCCGCATTTTGCCCACCCCCATTCTAGACTGTAAGAGGGAATGGGCCATGCCTATGGTGACTCTGGGACTAGCTTCCAGGCAGCCATGCCACCAGAGAGTCCTTAGTAGTCAGGTAGTCTAGGATTCTTGTCAATATGGGTTAGCAGAATGAAAACATTAATGGAAGTGTCAATGGAGCATCAAGCTATATGTGTTTATTCCCTGAAGTTTTTCAATAGTTTCTAGGCAGAAGGAGATAATATTGCAGAGGTCACTGACCTCCTGTATCCTACCTTTCTTCGAGAGTAGGAAGGGGACAAGCCTGTCCCCTCCATTCATCTTACTAGGAACCATTTCATGTTAGCTGCTGAGTGGTCTCACCTCCTACTGACCTCCACAGGACCAAGCCTTATATTTATTTTTTCAGCTATTTCATACTAATATAAACATTGTTCTCTTTCATTCTGGATAAAGCCCACAGAGTAGACAAGCAAAGTGGAAAGACTGAACAAATTTTATGGCAAAAGAGAAAAACTTACGTATGGCATCCATCTCTAAAATTGCCTGCTTGGCCTGAAAAAGACAAATTGTGCATTAACAGGTTAAAATATACAAGCATACTAAACAATGTAATTTGGCACTGAACAGCAGTTCAAAAAATCTAAATTGTTTCTATCTAAGAAGCACTGTACTTTACACGTAGCATAGACTATTCCACACAACATGACTTACATACCTGAACTGGCATTTTATTCTATCATATTTAATATCGTTCATTTTCAAAGAAGTAACAACTGTGCACTGTACAGCTCCTGCTCTATTTTGCCCGGCCACCTGCCATTCCAACACGGCAAAGGGAGCAGTGACTTGTCCACATTTAATTAACTGGGAATTGTATCTATGTCAGTGTTGGTTTCAGGGAACTTCCAGGTTTAGAGTTGGCATAGCCCTCTGCACCAGTGCTACAACAGTCCCCAGTAGAGGAACATGATGAGAAAATGCTAGATTTTGACAGACAGACTCTTAGGAAATGGGTGGAAATTAGGTTTTGCCTAATTCTGCCAAGACTGACACAAAACTCACCTCAACATCATGGAACCAAACCTCATAATCTCACAGCCCTGCCTCCTATGACTACCTTTGCTATGCACAGAACATTTTAAATATATGTACAACTGAATGCAAACACTTTCTGGCTACTCTGAAATTACAATAACAAGATCAAAGAGATAATTTGGAAATCCGCTCATTTTACAGGTGAAAAAAATAGTAGTGTGCCATGAAAAAAGCAAAGCAGATCCCCAAAAAGGAAGGCAGCATGAGGAAGAGGAGTGGGAGTGGTGAAGGTAAGTGCGAGGGGAGAGGTTTCTTATACCTAGATATGAATGGAGGTTGGGAAGCATGGTTCGGATCAGACCGAGAGTCTGCTTTTAAGGCAGGGAAACGGGGTGAGGGGGCAGAGTTCACAAATTTGCAGTGTTGTTTGGGGTTTACTGTTATTTCTTACCTATAGGTTATTTGTCATTTATTGTAACCTACTCTTAGCCTTTCTGGATAGGACTAAACATCAGCAGCAGCAGCAACAACATAGCTTAGAAGTCCAAAAAAACCAAAATAGCTTATAATGTTTGCATCTGTAAAGGTGTAGTTAACCTATTTTCCACTAGGTGTCAGACATGTCCTACTGCTAAATATGAAACGTGGGGTGGATGGAAGCAGGACATTTACACAATATGGTAGTTACTACTCCTGTTAAAGCATGTGCAGACAACACAACATCAGTAGCATAGGAACGCGGCTGGGTGTCCAGGGTGGCTGCCACACACAGGGGCAACAGTGATTTCTGGTTGCTGCTGCCACCACGACTGCAATTGAGCAGCTGTGGCAAAAGCCGTCTTTTTTCACCCCCGTTTCCATCCACTCCAGAGGCAGGTGCCCCCATCTTCCCACTCTACGTACACTGCTGCACAACATATTTACTTAATTTGACTTTTCTCTTTTGGCATAGGTTTAAATGATTTCTCACAGGGTGATCAAGAGTTTCTCTTTGTCGTACAAGCAACATATAATATGTGGATGTAAAATATTGCAATTAATTAATCCATTAATGAGAACTAAAGATCTAAGTAGCATCTCGGTATGAAATTGGAGTTCACTCACCAGCATCTTTTTACAACTTGTTAAACAACGGTGAGTAGAATTTATTCTTAATGGTCAATTTTAAGATAAATTTCATACATTAATGAAGTTATTCCCCCTTTCTGTTCAAATTCTCTATTTTGTCAGCA